CCATTGCAAAGCAGCTTGGGAATATGCGGAATTTTAAACTGGGATTTCTTTCCCCTGTTTTTTCTTGCACGTAATGCCATAGCTGTATTTTCGCTGCTCCTGCTGACGTGTCACATAGTGTGATAAAAGGTAACAGGTAGCTTCCTTGTACGCTGATGAAACCAGCTCGTCTTTTGCTTGATCAAAGTATTTCCTATTTGTACCATAATAAACATTTTGACACACTGGGTTTTTTTTTTTCCTCTTGCGTTAGCCTGAAGTTATTTTTCCAGGGTGCTGAAAACCAGCTGCTTCTCTAATTAGTACACTGAGTGCTTATTTTACTCCTCAGATAGAAGTGTCTTATGTTGTAACGAAACAGTTTGACACTGAAGTCACACATTCATCTATTTTATTGCAAAAGTCTGCTTAAAGTGTAGGCATCCCAGATAAGGCAACACATTTAATGTGCCATTTCTCTGCATTTTTATTAGCATTACTGCCAATTGGAAGAATTTACAAATAATTTCTTTTCCAGCACATAAATATATAAAATATTTTACTTTCCACATACTGGCAGAACATTTCAGGTCATTCTTCAGATTGCAGACAGAAATGTATGCACCTCACAGTCTGCAATGTTTACGTTCATGCAATACCTAATTATGTCTGAGGATGAAGCAAATGAAGGGTATAGACTAAAGTAAAATTTGACCTCTAGTTCTAGACCAAAAGCAAACAATATGTCCCTACCTAAGGTGCGGCACACTGGATAGATGCCAGCTATACCGAACAACCTTCTCCTGGCATGCCGTCACGCACCACTTCTATCAAACGCTAAGCAAATCTTTGGCCTAATGTGAATCTCATGCTTTGAGTGATGGAACCAACATTCCTCACCTCCCTTCCCAAAAAGAGGCATCTTTGCACAGAAAACCCCTTTGCTTTCTGTTCTATTTTGGTACTTCATCTCCCGCATCACAGCAATGCCATAGCATCTTCCAGTAGTTCATAAAAGGGTATGTCTCATGATTTATAAGATTTCTCTTGAGACCTTGAAATATTCCAAGTATATTCTAATTTTTCTCCCTAATTCATTTTTTTATGCCAACTATATTTCCCCTTGCAGCAGCTGCATTCCTCTTCACCTGGGTGAAGCATGCCTTGCGGAACAGCAAACGGACTTGGAAGAAGAGGTGGAGAAGGCGTTTGTAGGAAATGCCTTCCTCCAGTGAGGACTGGCAACAGTTAGATATTCACTGGAAATACCTGCATTCAGCGAAGACGTGCTAAAAAGGCAAATGTCACTGGGAGCGTGGTCCTTTGCAGGTCTGTGGTCTGTCCTCAGGACAAGGCTGAGGGCTTCCCACATGCCCCCACCAGCTCCCATCACTCACTCCCTGCCACAGAATGGGAATGAAACATCTCCTGCCCCAGTGGCCCAAACCCACCTCAGCTGTTGGGGTAAAAAAAGCCAAGTTGATGTGCAACTGTGTGGTCAATCGCTTGGGAATATTTGTCAGCCATCTCTGGGGATGGGAAGCTGGGTTTGATGCTTCTTAATACAGGATTTGCTGCGAGTTTCCACTTGCCTGTGCATGGGAAAATACATCTTATGAGCCCTAGCCCATCCTGGAGTCCCATCTCACCATTTCTTGGCTAAACTTCTCTCCCTCTTCCCCAGCCCTGCGATGGCTTTGCCATGCCATGGCACTGATGCCCAGCAGATAAGTAACCCAAGCCTCACCCTGTGCCATGGGCTTCATGGCATGGGACAACCTGCATCCTTGTGATCCCAACAGGCAGGAGTTCCCTCCTGCCACTCTGAGCAATGGAGGACATTTGGAAGCTCTTGAGCATCCTTAGCATCACACCATGACATTCCTAGTGGGCAAACCCACTCACTGCACTCATTTCCATCCTGTCAATACCAGGGCTGTTGGCATGTCACCTGTGAAGGAAGGCTGATGGTAGCCCTCCAGAGCCATGGAGATATTAAAGGTGATATGACACCTGTGAAGAGTTCCTGGGCAAAATCCAAGTTGTGCAATTGCCATTTTCACTTAAGTTCAAGCAGCATTTTCTAACTAACTACATTTTGCCTTTGAATGCAATGAATTATAAAATGCACTTTTATTTCTGCTCTAATTTCGAGGCTCACTGTGTGTTACTGAACAGCTGCACACTACAGCCCCAGAAGCAACTGTCCTTGGGTGTCTCTGGAGTTGATCCTCGCGTTATTTACTGAGCTTGGTGAGATCCTTTGTGGCAGAAGGTGACATACAGGTGTGAAATGCTCTTGTCATATCAGCTTATGCTCAGCCACAAAACCATTCCAGCATACATTGCATATGCTCCTCTTAAAACATATTTTGCCCAACCTAGCCATGCTGCTCCCACAGCTTGAATGTTTCCTCAGCCTGACCTAGACAGTGCTAAGCCTCCCTCCTTATTCCTACAAAAAAAAGGGTTTGAAATGAAAACCAAATTCAGACCAGCTCTAGTTGCTCATTATTTGGAGCCCATCAGTTAAATAAACCATGGCAGATACAGCCACGCTGCCATCCTGCAATGCAAGCACACTCCCAAGGTAATTTCTGATGAAAACCGTATGTTTGCACTAAGTCTGTTCAGGCTGGTTCAGATTAAATATAAACCACTGCCAATTGTATTACCTCATTATTAGCAGACACTGGCAGCAGCTTTGTGTGGAGAAATGGACGTCTGGCTATGCTACCTGCTGTCACATCATAATTCACATCAGGTGCTGGGGGATGCGCAGGAGGATTACTGCCTCCTCCTTGGCTTTCCAGACCACAGGGGACTCTTCCTTGACAATGGCCTTTCATCCAGCTGAGCTTCCCACCCACCTGATGCTGAGCCAAAGCCTTGAAAAAATTCGACAGCCTTCAACAGGAGTATATGGTATGAGGGCAAGGCTGTGCCTGGGAGCGCAGGGCACGACTAACATCCCTGGGAGCTCGTTGGGTTCAAGCCCTACTACCGAATGATGCTCACACACAGTGGGAGAGGAAGAAGGAAGCTATTGCTGGTGCTCACTACATATTTCAAGTTAAATCCCAGAAAAAAAAAAAAAAGACAACAATCCATCAGAGAAAAAGTAGCCATAAGCCATATAATATTAATTCAAGCCATATAGTATTAATTCAATTTGCAGGCAAGGTAAATCTTTCACATAATATTTCCCTATTTGCTCAGTGCCTAAGGAATTTCCCATTACCCTGTCTTTTTTCAATGTATGGCCCATTTGACCTTCACATAGCACAGACTTGTGTCCAGCCCCAAAATCCTCCGCTCAAAATACTGCAACAACAGGCAGCTGAGACGTAAGAACAATAAAAACACCCAGTACAACCAGACTGTATCTTTGGCGCTGTTGGAACTGCTGAGCTGGAAGAGGTGCAGGATCACCTCCCGTCTCTGCAGAAAACACATCGAGCTTTCTGAAAGGTCTCAAACAGGAATTTAACACCTTCCATCTGCAGCCCATTACTCTACATTTTAACTCCACCTCTCCGATTACAGGTCCCTGCACACTAGGAGTGTATACGAAAGAGTGCCAAAGTCTCAAGTCTGTGAGACTGAGAGTCAGGGAATAACTGGAGATGAACCAAAACTGGAAGCCAAGTCCACAGCACTCTTTTTCCAAAAAAGCACAGAGTTTCGGTAAAAGACCCCATGAATTGGCACCATGCTGAGTCTGGCCTTTGCAAAACCTAAAGAGAAATCACCTGGTCTGCTAGGAAAGGCCAGCAGAACATAACAAGGTGCAAACAATAACTTTTGGAGAAAATGCTTTTAAAAGTGATGGATTTTTTTTCTTTTGGGAATGAGATCATTTCAACAACTGATCTTCTCTATCCCCCAGGTTTCACGTTACTTTGTCTCCCTGCTCTAGGGGAGATGCTGAACACCCTTGAGCAGGCTGACAGTCTCTTCCCCGCTTCCCCTGGCCTGATATGCACCTCATGGGGGCATTCGACTCGGATAGCCCCAAGGAAGCGGGAGAACGTCAATCCCGCTGACACCGTCTCCCATGGGCTCTGCTCTCAGCAGTCTCCCCAAGGATGCTGGCATCGCATCAGCTTGCCAAGCATCCCTGGGGGTTGCTCCTCCCTCCCTTCCGCATCCAGCACTCTTGGCTTGGCATGATTTCATCTAACTTTGCACAGCGTTTCGACCCTGCCGTGGCTGCCTGCAGAAGGGAGGGAGAAGGTCGGATCCACACCCCAGCTTCCCTGCACATTTCAGGCATCAGGGAAGTTTCCCTTCATGCACCGACCAAGGACATTTGAAAGACAGCCCGCTCATTGTGATCAGCTCTGATTGTAGCTTTGTAGCAGTTAAGAAGTCCCCCCTGGCTCCAGCATCCTGATGCTGCAATTCTCTCTTCCCATTAATGGTGGGTTCTGTTTCTTTTATTACCTCTTAGTAATCGTTTGACGAGCTCTCACAGCAGGACTTTGCTTAAAATTGTTCCACCTTTCTAAACTCTCCTTCAAAAACCATCAACACTTCATCATGACACAGCACAGCTCCCATCTGCAGCATCTTTACTTGCAAGGAGCAGTGAGGCCGCAGGACGGGGCAGCTGCACTTGGTTAGGCACTCAGGTCATCTCCCAGTTAGCGTTCCTGGGCCAGATGCTTCCCAGGAATGCATAGAGAAAGGTTACAACAGCCTTGCAAAAGACCATTTGCAACTTTGCAGAGAAAGGTTGCAAGAGCTGGTGCGTCTTCACCCAGCTGTATCAGCTGGACACATAAAAGACGCTCCATCTCACTTGGGTGGGTTGCCCAAGAGGCAGGTTTATCTGCAGGAGGTTGATGGCTCACAGTCGTCTGCCCTTTCCTTGCTGTGGTGAAAGGCAAAGTTTCACAGCTTCCCCTCCAGACCATCCTTGGTAACCACAAACTCTTTGAGCCAAAAACATGGCCTGCAATGCACTGGGAAAGCCCTCCTCCACCAGTAACAGAGAAGAACCAACAGTGAGGACTTACCATCCATGTCAAGGCGTTGCATGATAATCGCCAGCTCCACCTCACTGGGCATGTATCCCAAGGAACGCATTGCCATGCCCAGCTCCTGCTTGGATATAAAACCATTCCCATCCCTGTCCAACACCCGGAAAGCTTCACGGATTTCTGTAAAGGAGAAGGAAGAAGAGAGGAGTTGTTATGGTGGAGGACTCCCTGGTCAACACATTTGCACACATGGGACACAGAAGCAGCATATATTGCATTTTCTAATGTTAATGATGCATATTTGACAATTTCAAGTCAGTATAATCATGATATGTTCATGCACACATATATACTTGTCCGTGTGCACTCATGCCTCTGTATGCAGATGGATTCATATAACAGCATCCACACTTAACACTGCCTGTTTTCTGTGCTAAATATTCCGTTTTTATTTATTCATTATTTATTTATTCATTAAACGTTGAACTCCTCCACTCTCTGTAACGTCTGCCCTGGACTGCTGCGGGTGAGCCATCCTGATCTACAGTAAATCCTCCTTGCATACAGCTGCACAGCGAACCCCAGCTACGGGGGCTTCTCCACCAGCCCTTCTCCAAGCCCCTCAGCATGTCTGCAAGGCAGATTTACTTTATGTGACATGGGCAGACCAAGCTCTGACTTTCTCCAAAAAAACTACATGAAGACAAACATCTGGGTGCTGACTGCCTCCCCTGCAGGGTATGGAGCTCTGCAGCCAAAGCCTGGATGCGTATGTTCTCCCTTGTCTGATAAATGCAGATGTACATCTTTTAAACCATACCTGGGCAATTTCCATCTCTGACTCCTCTTCACAGCCTTTCTCTAATTTATAACTGTTTTACAGCAATAAACAGCCTCAGATCAATAAAAATGCTAACGGCATCAAAGGAATCACTTCCATCATTCTTCCTCAGCCTGGCTCAGCTTCTGACATCTGACTTTGTTTTGCTTTTTAATTCTGGCATATCCCACTCCAGCCATTAATATCTGCTCTCCACTCATGCAGCCCACCGAAGGACTCCAGTGCATCCACCACCTTGACAGCTCTGCACATTTCCCGCTCCTCACGGACCTCTCAACTTGAAGACCCACCATCAAGCTCCCCAGATCTGACTGTTGCAAAAGCCAAACAGCAATTTTAACATTCCAGCCAGCTGGGAGCCTGTTTACTTGAAAGGATTTGGTTGGAGGTGGGGAGAGTAAGAGGCGCTGATTTCTTAGTCTTGGTTAAACGGATTTTGCACCATGCCGTGGAGAGGAAAACACAAGATGCTTTATCATATCTCTTCTGGGAATGAGGATATATGAAAACCCAGCATGCTGGGGCCCGCTGAAACATTGCTTAGAGGAGTTTAATCTTCACGTGAAAGAATTTCATTGAAGAAGTGGGAGGGAAAACTCAGCAGGGGGTTTTTTAGGGGGGAAAAAAAAACCTAATTAAAAAATACTCTATCCTCTATCAGGAAACAGATTGGATGGAAAAAGTTTGGTCAGCCTTGGGTAGTTCAGGCGCTAAGTCTCGCATGAGAAAAGATTCTCAGTCCTGCCATGGATGTCATGCATGTCACCTCCCTCTGCCTCCTGCTCCCAGGTGCAAAGGAGGCACCAGCCCGCTGCAGCGCGGCCACGTGAGAGGTAACGGATGGTGCTCCCGGGAGAAAGCTGGGAGCATCATAACCCACCAGGAAATGGTTTCAGTGACATCTTTGCTGTCAGGTTATTTAAAGTTCTACAATTCAAAGGCTGCTTCTAAATCACCTCCCATCAAAGTTCAGCACCTCCCTTGACAACACCAGTGCGTTAGCAAAGTCTGCTCCAGTTTCCATGTGCTGCTTCCTGCCGTGTGCACTACGCTGGTGATGTGCCAGGGCCAGGGCACCTCCGTGACCCACTGCTTAATCTTCACCACAACGTTGGATATTGTAATGAGATATGATCAATTTTTAATCCAGCCAAAGAGCCCATTGACGCAAAAAGGGAAGATCCTATTAATTCCAATGAATACTGGGCCAGATCTGTAATGTTTACGCTTTGGGTTCAGGTATGCATCAGCTGTGGCTTCTTTAAACTTAAATGCTTCACCTTGTCTCCCTGCCAACCCAAGCTGCTGTAAGCTTGGCGATATGAGAAGATGGTGAGGCTGTTCAAAGCAAGCTCGGCTGGAAGTATCGGTACATAATGCAAAGAGCCTTTGGAGTAGGAACGAATCCCATTAGACACTGCCAGCTGTAGTGAAATCTATTTTCATATGCTGTGCTGAAAGCTAAAGTGCAGTAAATATTACATCGAAGTCAATTAATTTTAAAATAAACTTTTGACAGCTGAAGACGAAAGAACTAAAAATATTGCAAGGAGATGAGAAAGTATTTTAGAAAATAAAACATGACTCTACCTTCAGAAAAGTTTACATGCGAGTTAGACTGATCCAAATTGCATGAATAAATTACGTCTGCACAAGGGCTCTGTTGTTGGATATCTGGTTGCCAATGTCTAGTGAATATCCTCTCCAGATACACTGATTTCAGAAGGTGAATTTAACAGCACTGCAAGCTTCGAGCCTTGATCAGAGGAGAAAACCCCACACATTTGGGGTCCAGCTCTGTTCCATACCTCTTACAAAGCTGAACTTTTGACCAAGCCCAAAAGATCCATCCCACATCAACTCCTGTCCCCAAATGGAGCTTTTTTTCATTCATCACTCTATAAATACCACTTGTGCAGAGGTATATCTAAAGAGCTATTTATAGGTTGAACACACTGTACACGAAGCAGCTATGAGCTCAGACAGTGCCTCCTCTTTATCTTTACATGTAACATCACCTCCTTATCAACTTTTCTTTACAGTGATCCTTCTCCTGCGATGTACTTGCGGGTGCTGTCCTGCACAGCATCCACAGTGTGAGCCACTGGGCTGAGCACCCTCCCCAAACGCAGTCCCACCAGCTCTTCCCGCCGGCACTGCCGAAGAGCCAGTCCCAAACAGTGGTCCATGAACCTGTGGCACCCTGGCTGGCCCTCACCTTTACTTCCAGCTGTTAAATTTCATTACCCAAAGCTAAAAATACATCAGCACTTTCCCCATATGACTTTCCCAAAGAAGTCACCATGGCAACTGATGCTCCTGGCTCAGAACTGGGAGCGGATGTGGTCCATGGAGTAAATCTCTCAACAAAGACATTGCCGGGGCTTGGGAGAAATTTTGAGACCTCTTCCATTTTGGCTGGAAGCTGCTCTGCACAGGGATGCTTTACCCTGGTCAAGAAACACAGAACTGTTTTGTCTTTAAAAGGGTGAGTAAGGATAACGGGGGGAGCGGGTGCCAAAGCGATGCTGCCCCAGCAGCTGCCTTTCCCCTCGCCCAGCCTGGCTGGCAGCAGAGCCCTTACACCCAACCGAGCACGTATACTCAGATTACACCTCCTCTGGGCTGTTAGAAAATGCTAATATTTATTCCCCTTTCCACTATATAGTATTTTCTTTTACTCCCAAACGTAGGCAGCTGACACAGAACTTCATTAGAGGATGAAAGGGAAAAAAGAAGAGAAAACACAGAAATATGTAGAGAACAGAAATTGGCCCATTTTGCTGGTGATGGCACTGGCCTGAGCCTCAGGAAACGTCACTTCTTCTCAAGGAGCCCAAGCTAGGATCTGAGTGCTCTTTTCCATGTCTCAGTTTCCCCAGCCCCTGGGGCTAGTGAGACTGCTCCTCTGTACAAGGTGATTTTGACATAAAGGTGCTCACCCGACAGGCAAGCAGTACTGTACCATCTCACTCCCAGAATTATCTCAAACAGCAGCAGCAAGCAATGGTGCTGCAGAGAAACAGGCTTTGTCAGATGGACCATACATGATGCTTAATGCTGAACATCGTTCAAGGGAATGAGGGGCGAGAAGGCATCAGCACCTGGCCCCATCCTAACATCTTTGTTAATGATCTCAAAGGGGAGTGGCCACAGCATTAATTAAATTCCCGAATGATTCAGGGCTGGAAAGAATTGCCAGGACCAAAAGCCCAGCCAGAAAGAAGGAGCGCTGTGTGAACGGGACAAGATTTGGGAGCAGAAGGGCCGTCGCCGGAGTCAGCTGGGCTGAGGCAGGTGCAGTGAGATGGGTTTGAAGGCACGTTTCTCAGGAAAGGGTAGCTCAGTGTTTTTCCCCAGGTGAGGATTTATGTTCCACGGGAGCCAAGAGCGCAGCGCTTGTGTCTCTGAGTTGTTTGAGCATTCAAAATCGGGGGGGGGGGGGGGGATTCTTTGTTTAATCCT